GCAGTGCAACTACTCTCAGGTGACATGGCATAGATCCAGTTGGGCGTGACGCTGACCTGGGCTCCCTTCACCTGAGAGCTGCCAAAATCCAGCAAATGCTGAGCAACTTCTTTCCCCTCCGGTGTCAAACATGGCTACGTGGGAAATCCCCGAACCAAATGGAGGTTTGAATGGGAAATTCATCGAACTAAATTAACTAAATCAGGGGATTTTCCGGCAAAATGATCACCATGATCACCAGAGGGTCACCGCTCCTCTTGATGCCTTCAGGGGATGCATATGACCAGGGTCTCGGAGCAATCTTGTTGAATTGGAGGACAAGTGCTTCTAGAATTAAGATGAATTAAGGATGGTGTTGAAGATTGGAAGGCGTTTGGATTCCCCTCCAAGTCTGAGGCACATCCACTGATGAAACAAATGAAGGATCCGCGTGGTACGATTCACGATCATTCTCCTCTTTGGTGGCAAAAAAAAATGGAGATTCTTAGATACCACTTACAGTTGACATCATTTCACAACAATTCATTTCATTTCACCATGAGTTTCTACATATTTCCATGTCCGTTCCACTAGTTGGACCGGCTGAGCCGCCATCAGGAACTTGGCAGTCCAATAGCCCCCATTGTCCTCAGCAAGATGAATCAGATTGCTGAGGCACGGGAGCCACCGTGAAAGCCATAAAAATCGGGATGTCAGTAGGCAAAGACGCTGATTTACTAACAAAACTAGTGATTTGTTGGTGATCAATGCATATCAATGGGTTGGTTTTCAAGGCATGATCTGCAGCAAATCGTGATGTTTGCCATTGCATTGGAGGCGTTCTTGGTTTTTTGCCCTCATCCAGTTCTGGGAAATCAGTTTGCGGCCTGCTCATACTCTTCATGAAGTAAATGATTTAACTTGAGACCTTGAAGCTTGGAATCGTTATTCTTGTCAAAGAGTGACCATACTTCCATTTTCAACCGGAAACTCATTTCCCTAAGTCAGTGAACATTCCAGGAATCCACTTGGATCCATTTCTTGGGGTTCACCTTGTCCAGCCCAAGTCTCGGCCGCTTCTTCAAGAGCACTCTTGTTGAAATGGCCACCTCGCTCATTTACATCCTGGACTCGTATCACTGTCACTTGGTTCACCTTTTGCTATAGGCCGACTCAGGGACACAAGGCCCCTGCTCCGTTTCCACTAAGCGGTTCAGAATTCTGCTAGAACTGACGAACAGTGATGTCAGCTTTGGAGTTCTGTACACTAGCCGCTATGCTAGTCTGCAGGTAGCACCCCGGAAAGATCAGCTTGTTTTTGCATCTGTGTCTCATGTCAATCAAAAGTTCTAGGCCCAAAAATCCTTCCAAAACAGTCTCAGCAAGGAGATTTGCAAGCCGCCCGGTCCTGACCATTGTCCAGGAACTCCCATAGCCTATCGATATCCTCAGCCAAGGCAGCCCCGAACCAGGTGTACTTCATCCCCTGGCTCTTCAGGTAACTGGCAATGTCCATGGGCGCCAACTTTCCGTCGGCCAACATGGGCGGTCGGTCTGGGTGGTGCCAATGACACGCGGCCGCATAGTCTAGGGCATTGTAGCCGCCATAGTCCAAGACCTGCATGTCAACTTGTGCTTCCTCGACCAACCTCAGCTCAAACAGGCACTAAACGGAAAGAACTTAGACTAACACAAAGCGAACCCTAAAGAAGCACCTGATTCTGTAAACCTGTTCTCATCCTGATTTCTCACTCCACTTGTCGTCTCACAGAGGTCTTGGCTGCAACGTATTTCATTAGGTTCGCGGGGAAATCTACAGGAAACCGTGGTTTTCACTGCATACCTCACCCTGTAGAGGAACAAGCTCGAGGATTATTGACAGCTAATCCACATCTGTCTCATATATATACATATATCTATCTATCTATCTATCTATCTATCCATCTATCTATCTATCCATCCATCTATCTATCTATCCATCCATCCATCCATCCATCTATCTATCTATCTACCTAACCATATATATCCATCTATTTATCTATCTATCTATCTATCCATCCATCTATCTATCTATCTATCCATCCATCCATCCATCCATCTATCTATCTATCTAACCATATATATCCATCTATTTATCTATCTATCTATCTATCTATCTATCCATCCATTTACCTATCTATCTATCCATCCATCCATCCATCCATCCATCTATCTATCTATCTAACCATATATATCCATCTATTTATTTATCTATCTATCTATCCATCCATTTATCTATCTATCCATCCATCCATCTATCTATCTATCTATCTAACCATATATATCCATCCATTTATTTATTTATCTATCTATCTATCTATCCATCCATTTATCTATCTATCTATCCATCCATCCATCCATCCATGCATCTATCTGTCTAACCATATATATCCATCTATTTATTTATTTATCTATCTATCTATCTATCCATCCATCTATCTATCTATCTATCTATTTATCTGCCCAAGAAACCATTTCACCATGGGCCAATTCCCCTGCTCGATGGCAAGGAAAAGGGCCGTGCCACCGTAGGCATCCAACCGTGCGTTCACATCGACTCCTGGCTCCCAGCGGCCAGCAGAAAACCGGATATAGATATGGATATGTGAAGATGTAAATATTGTATAATATTGTGATATGTATATATGTGATATGTATAATGGATATGTGATATATGGATATTTATATTGGCATAACATATCATATATATATAATTATTGTATATGAATATGTGTGAAATGGTGAAATGATATTAACACAAACACCATTTTGGGCATTGAACCATCTTTGTTTGTCACTTTCTTGTCGAAGAAGTTGGAGGCAGGCTGGGAGGCTTTTCCAATTCCTGCGCTAGATTTAATCCAACATCATTGCCTGTGTGTGGTTCCCTGAGGTTTTGAGACTCAATGAAATTATTAGATTCATTTAGATTCCATATCTTCTGCCGGTGACCCCGAATGAAGTCGGATCTGTCGTACTATCTCTCTGACCACAGGTCCAGGGAATCAGAACTTTAAGGCATGGTGCAACACTTCAGACCGAGGTTCCTTTCTTGACGCACTCTTTGGCCCATGCCATGTTTCCAACTCCCATTGGCGTGCCAACCTGGCTTGTCACGTGACCCGCATGCATGGTTCACCTAGAACAAGTGCGCATCAATGCTCAAAGGAGATATGTATAATATATGTGTATAGTGTGACATATAGCTATATATATATGTGTGTGTGTGTGATTATATATGTATATATCCAAGGATTGCTCTGCATTTCAGAGCCAGTAATCCCTTCCCCCTATTAATCTTCCCCAGATGGTCCCCTCAAAATGAATAGATCCAATAAAGCAGGATAAGTATTGAAAATGAAATGTAAACACCATAATATTTAATACACAACGGTATGCGGCATGCGTATGTCCAGGTATCTCCAAGCAACAGCATGGTACCATTCCTGTACCAGCTCTGGCATGCTGTCAATGGCATCATTGCCATAGATCCGCGTTCGGGCTTGTTTCGCCATGCCGCGGCGGGCCCGCGCACCGGCGATGCCCCAATCGTCGCTTGGAAATGGCGCGTGGTGACACAACGGTCAAGAAAACGGCTCAAATGATGTATGTGTGCTAAGACCAGTCCCACTAGGGCCTAAGAGCAAATCTTCTTCCGTGATATTTGGGGAGATTGGGGTTGATACGGGTCGATGGTTGGGGCACTTCGGCATCAAAAACACAGGCCTTGAGTCTGGTGACCATCGCAAGACCAGCTGGAGCTGTTTCTGAGGATCAAGCCACGAAGTAGCAACGTTCGCAACTCACGGCTGCCTTGGTCAATCACCGCACACCAACTTGGCATCGAAGTGTCGGGGAAAATCTACAGGACCCCTCTATATTTCGAGGTATAAAAGTTTGGGTTACCTGGGTTTCTGTAACTGTAGATGTTCAAACGTAAACCAATCAATTGACAATCAAGCTTGAAGGCTTGTGACCATCTGCCCATCTGCTAACACTGCTGAAATCCATACCACAACATTCTTAGTCAAGTCACTGGTACTTCAACTTTGACCCACAGTCATGTCAGCAAATCCTGCATCACATGGGTAACGGGAACGGCAGACTTTACACTCTGACATGATGTGGCTACCCTCCAAAGTGGGAATACCAACTCCAGATACAAGAGGTGAATGGGTAGATAAAGAAATAGAATTAACCTTTCTAGGTATGATTATCTTATTTCATGATGTTTCATATCACACTTACTGAAGCTAATAACCATCTACAACTATGCCTATCACCGTCTTCCCCTTCAAACATTTGACAGGGGATGCTGAAATGTGTGATTCCACTGCTGGACATGACAATTTCCACCTCCAATGTAAACACGCAGTGATCTATATACCTACGGCTGTTGGTGCTGAGGGTTTGTCTGAAAATATACCTTTTCACCGTAGATCTTCCATCCAACATCTCACCTCTGCTCCCATCAGCCAGGACTTTACTGCTCCGAAGCCAGGCCCAGCTTCGACGATGTCCATGCTGTGCCCCAGGCCTGGTCAAGACTTACTGGGACCTGTTTGATTGTTGGTGATATATATTGAATATTTATATACATACAGTACATATAGATACATATATGCTTATATCATATTCATGTTTATCTGGTTGCTGGTTTCAACCCCTCTGAAAAATATTAGTCAGTTGGGACTATTATTCCCAATATATGGAAAAATAAAAAATGTTCCAAACCACCAATCAGTTATGTAATGGGAATCATATCGTGGAATAATGGGATATTCCTGGAATATCGGTTAACACGCTGTAGTTTTGCATTTTGTTGTGGAGTACGTCACCTTTTATCTATTTGACATGCCTTTGTGGCTTGCCGTTGATGAAAATCATCTCCAGTTGGCGCTCAGAACTGCTCCCCCGGATTCCTCCCCGGAGAGCCTTCTGGAAAGTAGCACCTGGCAAAGTTTTCCGCCTGGGCCCACTCCTTCACGCGCCATAAAGCGGAGCCTCCAGCATCGGTCTCGCAATCTCCATGCACCAGCATTGCGGGCACCTGCGGTGAGAGGGGTTAGCAAATCAAAACAGATAGGATGTGATACATATTGTAAGAATTCACCCACCTGCGATAAGGTCAGTTTGGGATGATTCCATATAGTTTCCCCTACTAACCATCTGTAATTACATCCTTGAGACGTTATAATTCATAGGCCAGCGGCAAAGAGATGGCTTTCACCGACCAAGGTGAACTGTGAAGCGTTGCATATTCTCTCGTGGATTTTCCCGGCCTTAATGGCAGGTCTGGCTGTCATCTCTCGAAGTTCAGCCACATAGGCTGCAGGCATGTACCAATCTTGCTCAGCTTTGCCCTCAAAATTCCTGGCTGCTGAGTGAGATATTGTATCAGTGTATCTCCCAGGCTCGCAGCGTATCTCTAAAGCCTTGCATCGCATTGTCATAGCTTTGAGTAGTGAAGACATGATTGAACTGTGAATGAAATAGGAAACTTTTGAATTAGCAAGAAAAATACCAATTGAATCCAAATAGGATGGAACACCTTGGCAGAGCAGGAAGAAAGCCCCAGCCTATAATACATGTGTATTGCCTATCTATGCCAGCCATAGCTGTGACTGGCAAATCCTATCGGCGATCGCTCCTTTCGAAATTGTCAATGGCCGGCGCCAACAAAACGACTCGCTTCACCAAATGTGGCCATCGCTCCTGCAAGTGGACAGCAACAGGCAACAAACAGAATGGACTGCAACGGTCAAAAAAAACACCACCATCAGCAGCATCATCATCCAAACATATCAATCATATTGACAATAGTAATCACAATATGAATGATAGACAATGATAGAATCAGTAGTACTATCTTTTTGATTACGCCAATCAGTAGTACTATCATGATGCTGATTTTGATCGCTGACCTAAATCCACATAAAACTGATAATGAAAATGCAAATAGTTAAAATCCTGGGGGTATGAATGAAACAACAATACTAATCATAAAGCATAGATAATATAATAACGTATAATATCGTATAATATGGCAAATAAATGGTATATCAGTATATCGTAATGATCATTTCTTGATATCTCCTGAAAGCTGGCCACCAACCAGCCACCCACGGAGAAGCCCAGCAGCGTCACGTTCGTCTCGCTGGACTCTGCCAGCGCCTTCAACTCCTCGTCATGGGGAGATCATGGAAAAAAAAACATGGGGATATATGATAATTGAAGGATGTAATGAGGATTTCATCAGGATAGGACAGGATATACGCCCATGAAATTTATGGGCGCTGTATGGATGGATGGATGGATCGATAGACGGACAGACCGACGTACGTACGTACGTACGTCAGTAGGTCCGTAGGTCCGTAGGTGCGTAGGTACGTAGGTACGTAGGTACGAAGGTACGTACGTATGTATGTATGCAGGCATGTATGTATGCATGTATGCATGTGTGCATGTATGCATGTATGCATGTATGCACGTACGTACATACGTACATACGTACATACGTACATACGTACATACGTACGTAGGTAGGTATGTATGTAATGTGTGTAATGTATGTAATGTATGTAATGTATGTAATGTATGTAATGTATGTAATGTATGTAATGTATGTAATGTATGTAATGTATGTATTGTATTTAATGTATGTAATGTATGTGATGTATGTAATGTATGTGATGTATGTAATGTATTGTAATGTAATGTAATGAAATGTAATGTATCTATGTAATGTAATGTAATGAAATGTAGAAATGTAATGTATCTATGTAATGTAATGTAATGTAATGTAAGATAATGTAATGTAATGTAATGTATTGTATGTACGTATGTACGTGCGTACGTATGTACGTGCGTACGTATGTACGTATGTACGTACGTACGTGTGTACGTATGTACGTATGTACGGTATGTACGGCATGTACGGCATGTACGGTATGTACGGTATGTACGGTATGTACCGTATGTACGGTATGTACGTATGTACGACTGATATGTACGTATGTACGTATGTACGTATGTACGTATGTACGTACGGTATGTACGTATGTACGTATGTACGTATGTACGTATGTACGTATGTACGTATGTACGTATGTACGTATGTACGTATGTACGTACGGTATGTAGGTATGTACGTATGTACGTATGTACGTATGTACATGTGTACGTACGGTATGTACATGTATGTATGTGTATGTGTATATATATATATATTCACTGTAAAAAATACTTGGGCCCTGCTTGGTACAAAAATCAAAAATCGCTTCCACTGCTAAAAACATGTCCACCGGTCGAGAAGAAGAAAGGATTTAACTGCTAGGACAGGCTCAAACACTCACATCCACAGCATCCAGTCCTCCATGAATCTTGGCAAAGAGGTTGCCCCCACGCGTCCACCTGACAGCGGAAGAGTGTGGCCCAAAGAGCAGTGCCCACATCCTTCTACCACAGAGCTAAAGGTCCACG